CTGTGGCTCAGTCGTCTGCACCCCGACGCCAGCCCCTCGAAGAGTTCTTAAGCGTAAAGAACACAGTACAGGGGGGCCGTCACCGACGCCACTGGGCCCGTGTCAGGTGGAGGAAGGCAAATCCACTTAAGAATGGGGTGGGCGGAAGGAACTCCCACTTAGTGGGGCTTCAGTGGCATAATCCTCCCGTGTCCTCCCACAGTCTGCCTCCGGCCTGAGAGCCAGGAGGGCCGGCATGTGGACCTGCCTCGGTCTGTGGCTGCTGCGTCCCAGCCCACCGCCCCGCACACGTGTTGGCGCTGCCGAGGGCCAGCAGGGGCTCACTGGGGGGCCTGGGGCACCGCCTCTCAAGAACTTATTCAAGTTCTTGGCCAAGGCTGCAGAACCGGAAGAACTGCCTGGGGCCGGCAGCTCCACATCTCCATTCACTCACGGGACTACTGGCAGAAGGCCTGGCTTCTCACCGTGTGGGCCTATTCATAGGGCAGCTCAGATAGGACTCCTGAGGGGGTGGGGGAAGTGGAGGGAGAGGGAGAGCGAGATTGTCCCGTGAGAAGGCGGCAACTGGTCTTTGTGTTTGAGGAATGTACAGGTGCAAACGACGCAGGCAGCTTTGCAGTAGAGGCTGCCGCCCCCTCCCGGAGAACAGGACAGAGCCCAGAGTAGGCGGCGTGCACATCGGGACCAGGAAATCACCCCGCTCCTGCCAAGTCCACCTGTGGGCGCCTCCCTGTCCACGTGGGACCCGGTCAAGGACTCCCTGAGCTGTTCCCAGGCCAACCCGCCCCGCGGCGCAGGCAGCACCACACAGGAGGGGGCTGGAAGGGGACAGCGTGACCAAGCTCGCAGCACCCAAGCTTCGCCTTGACACCATGTGACCCTGGGACAGGGCCCCTGCGTGCCCCGGGTCCTGGGCCCATTTGGGGCAGGTGCTACAGCCACGGTCACACAGGCCCCAGGGGCAGGTGCCACTTGCTACCTCTACCCGTCTCCACCCTGCGCCCTGGGGACTTCCTGACCTTTAGAGAGAGGCTTCCGGAGACCTTGTTCCCTCCCTCACCAAAGCCAGGTGCGTCTCCGGCTCACCCTGCACTGCCCACCTGGGCGCATTCACGTCAGAGGAACAGGTTCTTCCACAGCCAAAGGAGCGAGGGTGGTGACTGATGGAGACAAAGCTCCGTGGCAGCTGGGATCCCAGCCCACTTGAAAGACAACTCGCACAGGTCCAGGTGGAACAAACGGCGACCCCCGTCTCTGTAAGACTGTCACTCTCTCCTCTGTCTTCGAGGGTGAAATTGGCTTCCTTGTTTAAGAAACAAGGGCAGGGTGTGGTGGTGAGGGGCTTGGATTTGGCCCTGGCGTGGTTTGCCCTAAGCTCCACTCCCAGCTCTACCACGTACGCTGGGGGGCACCTGGGCAAGTCCCACGCTTCCATGTTGGACCCCATACCTGGAGGCTGACACAGGCCGAGGCTGGCCAATAAAACTCCAGGTGAGAGAGAGAGGAGGGAGACGTGTTCAGTGTGACCAGACACGGACGCCCCCAAAGGCAGTCCGTCCCGGTCACGTGGGAATATCCATCATTTGGTTGATAGTCTGCACTCACTTGGGCACCACCTAGGGTAGAATCTGATGGGACTAAAAGAAGGGGTGACGATCTGACCCCTGCCAGGGGCAAGTATGGACTTAGCAGGATCAGAGGGTGGGGGTCGGCTGGAGCGCTCAGGAGGACAAGTTCCCGAGTGGCCGAGAAGGCCACCCTCTGAGACAGGAAGGAAGCTCAGGACCAGCCCGGGCCATATCTTCATCTCTCTGAGAACAGGAGGTTCTGAGCGCTGGTGTCCAGAGATCCACGTCACCCGCCGGGATATAAAACCGGGGGTGGAACACCTTCAGCTGCGCTGTAAACGGAGGCCATCTGCCCCGGGGAAGCTTTGCTGAGCCTGGAGGACGCACTGGCCGTGGGGCCCCGGCTCCTGCCGACACCTGCTTGCCTGACGGTGGCTGAGCAAGCCGAACGAACGGCGTAGCACGCAGCTGAGCTGCCTCTCCGGGCTCACGCTCTGGCAGCCGGCTTCCTGCTACAGCTCCTGCTGCCACATCCAGGAAGCGAAGTGGGAATCAGCAAAGCAAGTTCCGTGTCCTGCCCTGGGAATGACCCTGTGCTGCACAGACAGATGGCCATCAGGAAGAGCTCATTAGACCCACTCTGGCCGCCGTGCCCCCCGTGGCAGTGCATGGGCCACAAGCTGTGATTGGAGCCCGAGCCAGGAGAGCGAAAGCCTTCGTCCCCTTGTGCCAGCCCTGCACGCATCTCATCAGGGGCTGGCGAACCTGGCCCACCACGCGCATCCAGCCCACAGGCCTGCCCTGCGTCTCATAAGCTAGGAATGAGTTGGGCAGTTTTGGAAGCTTGAGAAGGCGGAGGAAGACACAGACGTCACACGTGCCCTTTCTCATCTAAAATTTGACTCTCTGGGCTTTTACGGAAAACGTGCGGAGACCCCCGGAGACCCTCCCGGTGAGGCTAAGGAAGGCACTCACTGCTCTGACCCACAGAGACGGCAGCACCTGCAGCGCAGGGTCACTCCTGGCTCCGCTCACTGCTGGGTCCCCCCTGGTGCAGGGCTCCTTCCGTGAGCATCTGTGGAATACTGGAAGGAACCAACTCTGCGCATGCTTATAAGAAAGCCCACGTGCAGCCGAGACAAAAGCAGGCACGAAAAACGTCCCTCTGCACCTTCAGATTCTGAAAGGCCCTGGCTGTGCTGAGGGAGAGCCTGGTTGGAAGCCACCTTCTGCAGAGGCCAGAGAGGAAGAAACCGCGCACAGACAGGCTCGCCATCCTGGAGAGCCCAGCCTTGCCGGGGCCGCGGCTCATCGGGGCGGCAGTGAGGATGCAGATTCTGCATTAGTGAGGCTGGCAGGGTCCCAAGGTTTTGTGTTACTTTCTTAAATACTTATTTATTTGAAAGGCAAAGGAGATAGAGATGGAGAGAGATCTTCCATCTACTGGTTCATCCCCCGCCTGTCTGCAATAGCTGGGAGTGGGTCAGGCTGAAACCAGAGCCCAGGAACTTCATCCAGGTCCCCCAGATGGGTGGCAGGGGCCCAGCTCCCTGAGCCTGCACCTGCTGCCTCCCAGGGTGCTCATCAGCAGAAACGGGAATGAAGGGCAGAGCCAGGACCCAGGCACCCCAATATGGGCTGAGGGCATCCCGAGCCGTGCCTTAACCACGGGGCCGGAAGCCTGCCAGGGAGTCTGTGTTTCTAACAAGCTCGCAGGTGCTGCTGGCCCCCAGCCTACACTTTGAATACAGGACGGCAAAGCTCTCTGCTGTCATGCACAGGACACCTCTGCCTCTGGATCCTCCCGGGTTCCTTCTTACTTCTTTTTGCAGGGGCTCAGAAATGTGGGAGGGGGCTCCCCCGGACTCTGATGAGAAAACATTCCAAAGAGATTGCTGGCTCAGAAGGTAAACCAGCTAGCTACAGGGATCCTGCAGCCTGGGGACGGGTCACTCCAACGAGGAGGGGCTAGTGGACTCGGGCAGTGCTGTCCAATATGAGCTGGGTCATTATTCCCTCTGCCCTGGTCAGGCCCTGGAGTCCACTGCCTTGGGCCAAGCAGACAAATGCCCAGGGATGGCTGAGCCACAAGGTAGACGGAGCCTGGTGCCCTGCAAAGGACAGCCCCTCCGTCAACTCACCGCCTCCACCTGGACTAAGAGAGCTTCAGGCAGCTGGAGCCTCCATGTCTTTGAGATTCTGTGTGAATTTAAAAATGTGGGGCCGGCGCTGTGGTGCAGTGGGCTAAATCCCTGGCCTGAAGCGCTGGCATCCCATATGGGCGCTGGTTCTAGTCCCGGCTGCTGCACTTCCCATCCAGTCTCTGCTATGGTCTGGAAAAGTAGTAGAAGATGGCCCAAGTCCTTGGGTCCCTGCACCTGCGTGGAAGACCCAGAAGAAGCTCCTGGCTCCTGGCTTCGGATTGGCACAGCTCCAGCCATTGTGGCCATCTGGGGAGTGAACCAACAGAGGGAAGACCTCTCTCTCTGTCTCTACCTCTCTCTGTAACTCTTTCAAATAAATAAAATAAAATCTTTAAAAAAAAATTGCATTCTGGGGTCTGACTGTGGTATAATGGGTAAAGCCGCCACATGCTGTGCCAGTGACCCATATGGGCACCAGTTCAAGTCCTGGCTGCTCCACTTCCAGTCCAGCTCCCTGCTAATGGCCTTAGGAAAGCAGCAGAAGAAGGCAAAAGTGCTTAAAAAGATATTACATTCTGAAAATATATGGAGCCTGCAAAGCAAGGACCACCAAGTTAGGGAGGATGAAACTCCACTCTCATCGGTCACTCACGCTTTAGAGCCAACAAGCATCTATTGTGGTTCATTCGCTCACACAGTGCTCCAAACAAAGCCAGGCTTGCATTTAGAGCGATAGTCACGCACTGCGTGCTGACGGTTTGACCAATGATAGATCCCGTGTACGCTGGCCTGCCCGCGAGATCACGAGACTGAAGAAGTCCTGTCGCCTTCGTAGCACAGGGAGACGCTCTCACATGCGTGTGCAGTGCAGGTGTAAGCACGCCCGTGACACTGCAGGCATATAACATTGGAGCACGCACAGCGACAGAGTCCTGTGTTTGCAAACAGCACGGCCGCGTTTGCGTTCAGAGATTCACACCTCACACACACACAGACGCATGAAGACTCACGCCCAACGCTCAGAAGCAAAGCGACGTGGAAATACACCAACGGGTTAGCCGGGCCCTCCCTGGGGGATATTTCCAGCATCTTTATTTATATTTTCTGGGTTATTCCATGTTCCTCAATACACATTTTATACACAGAAAGTGCACTAAGAAGGCAGTTTTTGTTGTCATTGTTTTTAAGGAACAAAAAGTTAGAGGCGCTTCCCATCACCGGGTTGTTCCATTGGAGCCAATAAACCAGGTTATGGGAAACAGTCGTCTGGCTGTTTCCAGTCTAAGAACAGAGCCCTCGGCTGTTCCCGACAACATTTCCTAAGCAAGGGGCGGGGTTCCCTGCCAGGACAAATAAGTGCTGGCCTTCGGGCAAAGCCAGCACTCCGGGCGGGCGCCTCCGGAACCTCCCAGTGCCTCCTCGGCTTTACCAGCAGGTAACCCACGCTGCTGCCTCTGTGCTGGGAGCTGAGGATTCCTGGGGTGCTAGGCTGTGACCTGGAGCTTGTGGCCTGTGTGGGGTGCAAGGGGGCTCAGGTCATGGGGCTGGGGGCCAAGGGACGGTTCTGGGGCTGCCACCAACTCCAATGTCCCCCTCTCGGGGGATGCAGGTTTTCACGCCTGCCCTGGGTGGAGGGGCCACTGTGGTTTCTTGGGTCATTTCTGACTCCACGCTCTGGGCTCTGAGTGGGAGCGAGCTGTGACCTTGACCCTCAGAGGGGGAGGAGGTGCCGTCCCCTCGGCTGGCACAGGGCGCTGCTCTCAGGACGGGGTGCAGACGCACACCCTGCCGTGGGGCCCCTGGACAAAGCACGCAGGCCCCATCAGGGCTGCAGGGTCTGCGGGAGACAGGGGCTGCCTTTGGAGGGGCCAGGGCTCCACTTCCCCCTGAGGCCCCGTGGCCGAGCTGACGGACGGCTGCGCCCCCCTCTGGCTGGCTTAGATACACCAGCCATCTCCCTCCAGCTGTGATTTGCGGAAAATCCCGTGTGACACCATTCCAAAGGACTGGCCACATCAGCCCGACTGTCAGCCGACAGCTGAGGCCAAGGCTGCCCTGTCCCTCAACTCCGGATGCCCAGCAACCCGGAACTGCCTCCCCTCCTCTTCCTCCTCTTCTCCTTCCTCCTCCTCCTCTCCTTCCATCCTCCCCTGGGACCCAACATGAGCGACCCCCTTTCTTTAAGGTCTATTTATTTATTAATTTGAAAACCAGAGTTATACAGAGATAGGAGAGACAGAGAGAGAGAGAGAGGTCTCCCATCAGCTGGTTCACTCCCCAGATGGCCGCAACGGCCGGAGCTGTGCCGATACAAAGCCAGGAGCCAGGAGCTTCCTCTGGGTCTTCCCATGCGGTGCAGGGGCTCAAGCACATGGGCCATCTTCCACTGCTTTCCCAGGCCATAGCAGAGAGCTGAATTGGAAGTGGAGCAGTGGGGTCTTGATCCAGCGCCCATATGGGATGCTGACACTGCAGGTGGCGGCTTTACCTGCTATGCCACAGCGCCGGCCCCAGCCCCCTTTCTCCTCTGGAGTCAGGGACCACGTGGGTGGAAGCTGCCGGCCGCAGTCAGGGGTTTGAACGCAGCCCCTGTCTTGGGTCTTGTGCAGCAGCTCCAGGGGCCAGGGGAGGAAGTCAACCCCGCAGAACCTCTCAGGGGCCAGCTGCTTGCCGGGTCCTCCCTTAGCAGATTGTGCTGTGACCGGGCCCCTCCAGGGATGGCCTGCCAGGGGCCATGGCACCTGCCACCCAGGACTGGGGGAGGGCCGAGGTCTGACGCGGGGCAGGAGCCCTCCAGGGTCCTCCTTCAGGGCAGATGGTGGTTGGGGCAGGGACAAGGCCCCCTACTGTTTCTCCCCTCTGACAGGGTGCCCGTTGGGGAGGAGAAGGCATTCTGGAAGGACACGTCCCCCAACCTCACGGCCACCGGAACTAACAGCTGGGTGGGCCTGGCTGCTGACTGCACCTCCGCACCTGGCCTGCTGTGTTCCCTTGGGGAGCCCCCTGCACCGCTCTGTGCCCCACTTCTGTCCCAGGGACAGCACTCACCCTCACAGCAGCGGTGTCTGTTGGGTGCCCAGGAAAGCATCCCCCCAGGGGAGGTCACGAAGCCATGAGGGCTGGAGTGCAGGCCAGGAGGGAGGCCCTGAGGGGACGAGCTGCACCATTTGGGCCTCTGAGCCTTACAGGGTTCCTGCTTTTCAGGGTTGAGAGCGGCGAGGATGTCAACTCTCCTGGCGCTGGCGCTGGTGGTAGCGGGGCTCTGCCCTGCTGTCCTCTGCCACCCCGCGGGCACAGCTGGCCAGGAGACCCGGGGCCAGGAGCTCTCGGAGGATGGGCGGCGGCTTGCAGGGCTCGTCTCCAGCAACGCCCACTTCGCCTGCAGCCTGTACAAGCAGCTCGCTTCGACGATGCCCCACAAGAACCTCATCTTCTCCCCGCTGAGCCTCTCCACGGCCCTGGCCTTCCTGTCCCTGGGAGCCCGCAACTCCACGCTCACCGAGCTGCTTGAAGGCCTCAAGTTCAACCTCACCGAGACGCCGGAGATGGAAATCCACTGGGGCTTCCAGCAGCTCCTGAGCGCCCTCCGCCAGCCGCGCGCGCAGCTGCAGCTGAGCCTGGGCAACGCACTGTTCGTCCGCGAGTCGCTGGAGATGCTGGCGACCTTTGCCGAGGGCGCGGAGAAGCTGTACGGCTCGGCCGCCATCGCCACCGACTTCCAGGACCCCGCCGCCGCCGAGAGACTCATCAACAGCTACGTGGAGAAGGAAACCCAGGGCAAAATCGTGGACCTCATCCAGGGCCTCGACCCGCAGACCGCGATGGTCCTGGTGAATTACATCTTCTTCAAAGGTGAGCGCCCGCCCGGGGTCCGCAGGTCCCAGACGCAGGGTCCTGAGTCCGCAGGCTCTTTCTGCCCCGGCCCAGCAGCTGTGCTAGGGGGCAGGGGACATGGACCGGGCGCCTGCCTTGCTGGTGGGGTTCCCGCCGCCCTGCCCTAGGGCCCCACCCCTAGGGTCACAGCAGACAGACCAGTTGCCGCTTCCACCTCTAGCCATCGGGCACAGGCAGTGCAGCAAAGCCAGCAGCGGAGGGATGGAGGGAGCTACACACTTGGGCCCCCAGGAGGCTGCCACCTCCCTGCTTAGAGCCCCCTCCTCCCTCTCCTGTGCTGACCCCTGGCAGCCCCACCCTTCAGCTTCCCGTTCTGTGCCTCGCCTCCATCTGGTTCACACACAGGAACCTGTCACGTGTGTGCCGGGCCTGGTCGATAGCCAAGTGTGGAGTGTGGACAGCAGGGGGCAGTGTGTGACGCTCAGGTTCCAGAAGTTCTGGCTCGGGGCGCCCTGTCAGTGTCAGTTCCTCCTCTCCCACTGCACCCCACCAGCAGAGGGCGCCAGCTGGCAGTGCTGCAGACCCAGTCTGTGAAAGCAGGGGCAGGGGGCTTCCAGCCAGGCGGGGAAGGGGAGCCGGAGAGGGAAGCCTTCCCCCAGGACACAGCTCTCCTTTGCCTTTACAGGAGAAAGCAGCACCGCAGAGGGAGGTGGAGGCAAACAGAGCTGGGTCACAAAGCCACCCTGGCCTTGTGAGCCACCTGGACCCCCGGGGGAGGGGGCCTAGACTGAGATGATGGAGCGAAGGCTTTGAGAAGAATCAGGAGAGCTGGTGACACACGCAGAGATGGGGGCAGAGGTCAGAAGGGTTAGGGACCTGTAGAGCCACGGCAGGATTCAGTCCAGACCAGGCTTCTTCCCACCCCGGCCCCCTGGGCATCAGTCACGTCCCCAGGGGCACCTTCCTGGCCAGGGCGGGGTGGTGGGCAGGGAGCTGTCTGCTGCCCTGCCAGGGGGCTTGGCTCCGGCTGCCGCTGTCAGTTGTTCACGCCTGGTAGGGGGCAGACAGGGGGCACAGGGGCTGAGCAGAGACTGGCAGCTGCCTTGGTCCTAGAAACCCTGAAGGTAGGAATGACGGGAAGGGGCCAGGCAAGGAAGTGAGGGAGCCAGAGACACGGGGGGCCCCCAGACGCTGCTCGCAATGATGGAAGGAAGGCGGGGAGGGAGGGAGTCCCAGCCCCCAGGCATTCCGGCCGTGGCCATGCTGCGCCTCTGCGAACTGCCCCACGGTTCTTGGAGGCCCTGCCTTTATCACTCCTGCTTCTCTCTGTGCTCCGTCCGGAAGTCCCATCAGCCCGCATCCCCGCACCCAGGCTCTCTCCTCGGCTGCATCAAGTCTCCCGGTGAGGCCGGGGAGGGCGCGCTCCATTTCCGTGCCGCTGATCTCTGGCAATGCTTTCCGCGTCTTGCTCAGTCTCCCTCTCTCTGCCGACCCTGCTCACCTATTCATGCATATCCTTGGAGCCCTTACCTTACTGGTTAGGGTGACTTTAAATTCTCTGCCTCACGCCTAACAATTCCGATGTCCGTGTCGCATCTGAGTGTGACGCTCTGCTGTCCCGGGAGCTGTTTCTCTGGCCTTTTGGTGACGATGGTGATGATGAGGATGACGACGATGACAGCTGGACGTAGTGGGCAGGGCGATAGGAATGTTGGTCAGTCGGTCCTTGGGATGAGGGTTTACGTCAGCCTGGCCCGGGTGGGCTTGTGTTCCAGGTGTGCAGCGGCTATGGGTGCCAGAAGCAGTTTTACCCCTGCAGACCTCAGTGCTGAACAGATGCTGGGGTCAACCTCGCCCACGACGGAATCCTCAGTCAGGACACCAAGCAGGCCCTAGAGGGAGAGAGCTGGGAGGGGGCGTGGGCGATGCTGACCTGGGGACTCTGGAGGGAATCCCCTCCCAAGCCCAGGGACCAGGGCTGGGCACCAACCCCCAGCTGCAACGGGGCTGCCCATGGGGTGGGATCTCAGCGGCTGGATCTTGGCCAACCCAGGGATCTCAGCGGCGGGATCTTGGCCAACCCGGAGCCTTGTGAGACGGTGAGCGAGAGACCTGACAGCCGTCATGAGGGCAGCGGCTCGGTCTGGGCCCAGAGCTAGCACGGCCTTGAGGGGGACAGGAAGGGCCCGGAGACAAGGCTGGCTGGGAGGGCTGACTCCACCGGGTTGCAGGACGCGGCCACAAGGCTGACGAGGCTGGGCTCCCAGGAGCAAGCGGGAGACAGACGCAGAGTCCCAGGGTCCCGAGTTCAAGAAATCAGAGTGGGTGTGACTCGGCGTGAGCGGAGGACCCACAGCCAGCACGTCGCAGCCCCGGCTTGGGGGCACCCAGTGTCCCTGCCTCCTAAGATGCTGCGCGTACCCACGCGTTTGTGCTCATGGTCACTCCTGGCTCTGAGTTCTCCTTCCATTAAGGCCCCATCCCCACCCCCAGGGCTTACGCTGCTATTCCGTCTGCCACTTCCCGTCCCCGTGTGGAGCTCAGACTCAGAGCTGCCACACCCCAGCCATGCCAGCGACTCCAGACACTGATCCTTCCAGGGAGCCAGGAACTTCCCATTCCCCCGGGCTCCTGCCTGCCCCTGGGCCGCCGGGCCCTCTCGCCCACCTGTGCCAACCCCTGCCTCTCTGTTGCGACCTACTCCCAGCCTGCATGGCTCCCCCTCACACCCACGGCTTCTCCACTCACCGAGGTGTTACTGCAGACCCAGGCAGGGCCCCCCGAAGAGGGCCCCTGGCTGGCGGGGGACGGGCAGAGCTCTGTTGCCCCCAGGGGAGGCTGCCCTGGCACTCACCTGGCCTCTGCCCGCTTGCTCCACTTTCAGCCAAGTGGGAGAAGCCCTTTGACCCCCGCGATACCATCAAGTCCAGGTTCCAGCTGGAAAAGGGCAAATGGGTGCCGGTTCCCATGATGACCATGGAGGACTTTGCCACACCCTACTTCCGGGACCAGGAGCTGTCCTGCACCGTGGTGCAACTCAACTACCTGGGCAATGCCAGCGCGTTCTTCATCCTCCCCGACGAGGGCAAAATGGAGGAGGTGGAAGCCAAGCTGTCCCCGGAGACCCTGAGCAGGTGGAGAAGCTCAGTGCAGGCGAAGTGAGTACCCTCAGGGGCGGCGCCGTTGCTGGCCGCCTTCCCTCCCAGCGGCCAGGGTGTGGGGGCTCGGTGGGGGGAGGTTCTGCAGGGGAGCAGGTGGACGCTGGGGTCATCTTGCTCCCTGTAGTTTTGGGTCTGATTTTTTTTTCTTTAAGCTGATGGCATCGGGGGTGGGCATTTGGCACGGATGCGGGAATCCTGCAATAGCAGCTCTGCTTCCAATCCAGCTCCCTGCTAATGCACACCCTGGGAGGCAGCAGGTGGTGGCCCCGGTAACTGGGCCCCTGGAACCCTCACAGGAGAGCTAGAGCTGGATGGAGCTCCAAGCTCCTGGCTTTGGCCTCGTCCAACCTTGGTTGTTGCAGGCATTTGGGGAGTGAACCAGTGGATGGAAGATCTCTCCATCTGTCTCTGTCTTTCTGTTTCTCTTTCATTCTCTTCCTTTCAAATAAGGAATATATATCTATATGTATATATTTAAAAGATGATGGTGTCAGACTGAGCCAGGGCCGGGGGCTTCCTCTGATCCTCAGTGTGTCCTGAGTCAGGAGGAATCTAACACAACGCCCAGCTCTCATGGACAGCTCGGCTCAGTGCGGGGAGACGGCAGGAACTGCAATCAGCCAAGGGGGAGGCGAGGCAGCTGTGAGAACCAGTGCTGCACTGGTTACCCATTCATTCATTCAGCGTCTGTTGAGTGACTAATTGAGCACCTACTATGCGCTTGACACTAACAGTGAATAAAACACAAAACTCTCTGCCCTAGGAAGCCGACCTTGCACCTGGGGGAGAGGCAGACAATAAATACACAGATCGGAAATGACTGGTTTGTTAGAACATAAGACTAGGAGAGGACGGCAGTGCGGGTAACGGGGTCGGGAAAGTGGAGCTGGCGGTGGTCTGTGATGTTGAACCCTTAGATGGCCCTTAGGGGAAGCTGGGGCGCCAACAGAGCCGAGGCAGGGGACTGAGTTAGCAGATATTTGGGGAAAAGCATTCCTGGCGGAGGGAACAGCAGGGCCAAGCCCCTAGGGCTGTGTTCATCGAAGAGCGAGGCCGGAGCACCTGCAGCTGGACAGGGAGGCAGAGGCCCCAGGGCAGTGGAGCAGGTTGTGGAGGGCCTTGCAGACCCCTGCAGATCCCTACAGACCCCTGGATACCCCTGCAGACCCCTGGAGAACCCTGGCCTCCCCTCCCCCCAGAGAAACGGAGAGCCGAGGAGACCTGCCCCGGGTGGTTTTCAAAGAACCACCCTGCTGCTAAGAGCACAGAGAGTGGGTTAGCGAGAGGCGGGGAGAGCAGCCAGGAGCCCCGCACAGAACTCCAGGGGGTGTGGCGGCGGGGAGCAGGGACGGGGTGTGCAGTGTGAGAGGCGACTGAGCTCTAGAGAGACCCGAGGTGGGCAGCACAGGCTGGCCGCGTGGAGCCCAGAGGCTCAGCTCCCAGGGGAATAGGCGAGGCAGCACAGTGGGTGTGGCCTCGGGGAGGGGGAGGGACAGCTGTGAGGGGTGGTGGGGCCACCAGGCTCAGCCCCGTTCCCAAGGCTCAGCCCTGGGGGGGCTGCTTCCTACAAAGTGGGGAGCAGCATCCCGCCTGCACCCTTGTTCTTGGGGGTAATGCTGGGGGGGAGTGTCTGGGGGGCCACTTGGTGAACCACAGAGGGAGGAGGCTGCTGCGAGGGCCACTGGCGGCCGCAGCTCCTGCCCCGGCTGCTGTCCAGGCAGCTGGCGCCCTCTGGGGCTGCCTCACTCTCAGAGCCCAGGAGACCATGAGGCCTGGCTCCCGCCCCTCCCATCCATGTGTCCCCCCACCTCCCACCCCCGTCCCTCCCCAGTCTCCATTTTAGCACCAAGTGACGGCCTGCGAGCTGGGGCTCCAGGAGTGGTTCTGAAAGAAAAGCCTCTTCCTCTGACACTTTGATCTGCGAAACACGGACGAAGTGTCTGTGTGCACCTGCGTGGCCCAGAGTGGATGCTCCGTGGACACTTGTGGTGGGAGGGAGGGAGGGAGGGCTGCAGAGGCGTAGGACGCCGTCTCTGCTCCCACGGCTTCAGAGAAGGATGGAGACATGAGACGTCCGCTCCTTAGTCTGGGCGGCCGTGAGAGCGGGCAGCCGACAGCAGGTGTCTCGGGGAGAGGGGTGCACAGGGCGAGGTGCCCGTTCTGCGAGCAGCCTGCTCCAGGCTCAGGCTCAGCACTGCAGGCAGAGGCAGCCCCGCCCTCACGGAGCTCCCCAGCAGGCCAAGCGGCAACTGCAGCTGTCTCAGGGCACCACGGGCAGCCGAGGCCCCTGCCCGGCCTCCTCCCTACCGCTCCCTGCCATGCCACGGCCACTCCGCACTCACAGTGCCCCCTCTTGCTTCCCACCTTCCTCTGAGTTCTCCCAGCCTTCCCCCAGCCAGCTCCTTCTGATCCTTTGAGACTGAGCCTCCATGCCGCCTCCTGCAGGAAGCCCTCCTGGTGCCCCTGCTGCAGGTTGCTATGCGGCCGATGAGGCTGCCCTGGGCACCCCCCCACCGTCTCTCACTGTGGGGTCCCTGCTGCAGCACAGGTGTCTCCTGATGCATTGTGAGCCAAGGGACAAGGTCAAGGCCAAGCTCAGGCATGGCCCCAACCCAGCCCTGGCCCTGTGCCCAGCCCATGTGGACGCTCACAGATGACACAGGTGTCGATGAATTAGAGGCATAGACCGGGTGGGGAATATGGATGGGGCGGGGTGGGGGAGGGACCAGGGAAGCTCACGCTGGCCTTGGGGAGGACCCTGGGCCAAGCCGCGTTCCAGCGTGGTTCCTGCACTTCCCAGGTGGATTGACGAGCTGCACCTGCCCAAGTTCTCCATCTCCAGCGACTTGAACCTGAAAGACCTCCTTTCCGAGCTGGGCATCAGAGAAGTCTTCACCACGCACGCCGACCTGTCCGGGGTCATGGGGGTCAAGAACCTGGCGGTCTCCCAGGTGAGGCTGTGAAACCCACGCTCCCTCTGACCTTGAGGGCCGAAGCCAGGTGCATGTGGGAGGAGTCTGAGATTTGGGAACCCCTCAAGCCTAGAGAGCCGGCATGGTCCAGCACCTCCTGCCCGGCTGGGGGCTGGCACCCACCTCCCCTGCGGCATAAAGTGATGCAGGAGCTGCCGTGGGGAAGAGTTTGGGCTCAAATCAGACATCTGTGGCCACCGTCCCACACTCCACTGTTTACTGCCCAATGTGGGCAAAATAGAGTCCTCCACCCTCGGGCTTTCCCCCTGCAAAGTGGGGCCATAGTTCTTGGCTAGATGCAGTGCTTGGCTGGGCAGGTGATGGTGGCTCTAGGGCACTTGTGATGTATATGCCATGACTATGAGCGAAGAGCACTCGGGACTCCCGGACTGCGTCACCAGGGACAGAGCCACCAGGAAAAGGGGGCCTCTGGGCAGCCGAGCCTTGTGCTAGGGCTGCTCCCCACCTCCCCAGGAGCACTGGGTGCAAAGGTGTGAAGAGGAGGGGACGGGTGTGTTCCAGGGGTGCGATGTCACTCCCAATGTAAAGCAGTCGTAGCTGAGAGCCGTGGCACGTTGAGGCTGGAGCTGGAGAGGTGCTGAGCCCAGGGCCGGCCCAGCCACGGAGCATGGCTGCATGGTGGAGACGGCTGCAGGGTTACTGGCCAAAGAAATGCGCAGTGTTGGCCTGGCCCCTGCTCCTGGCAGCTGTTGGTATTTGGGGGCAGCACAGACTCGGGACGCAGACCCAGAGGGACGCAGGTCGGCCCCTGCCACACACACCGGACCTCCGCGACTCTGGGCAAATCCCTCAGAACTCTGCACCTGGGCAGAAGTAGCAGAGAGGGCGCTGGGAGGGGGGGGCCCAGCACAGCCAGGCAGGCACCTCCCTCCAGCCCATACCCCCGCCCCGCCGTGAGTCACGCTCTGATGTCCCCGCAGGTGGTCCACAAGGCTGTGCTGGACGTAGCCGAGAAGGGCACTGAAGCGGCGGCCGCCACCGGCGTCAAAATTTCACTCTTGTCCGGGAAACTGGGCCCAGTGACCGCGGTGCATTTTAACAGGCCTTTCCTGACGGTCATCACCCCCAGCAACACAGCGAGCGTCCTCTTTCTGAGCAAAGTCGTCGACCCCACACAAGCCTAGGGCTCCTGCTGGACGTCGGGGGGCTTGGGCCCTCGGTGCGGCCGGACCTCCGAGCCCTGCGCCTCCGTGGGAAGGGGACAGTGACCGCCAGCGTGGCGCCCAGCGCCCAGGGAGCCCGTGCACTGCAGTGTCCTGAGAGCAGTAAACTCTCCCTGGATGGACACGTCCCTGTGCCTTCGCACACGGACGGCCCTGCTGCTGCTGTGCCCTGACACCCACCCTGCCTGCCCCCCAGGCGTCAGCCGCCTGGCCAGGCTCACTGGACCCCAGCCCCAGGCCTGGGCAGGGGCCCATCTGTCCCCAGGCTCGTTCCTGCCCTGGAGCTACCTGGTCCCCTGCCACAGTTTCACACTTCCCCTCCCCCAGAGCCCCTGCTCTGCCACCTGCTAGCCCTGACCCTGTGACACGGCTCCTGCCCCCTGGCATCCCGTATCCACCCGGTTCGAGTCCCGGCTGCTCTGCTTCCGATTCAGCTCCCTGCTTATGCCCCTGGGAAAGCAGCAGAAGGTCACCAAGTGCTTGGGCCCCTGCACCCACGTGGGAGACCTGGATGGAGTTCCGGGCTCTTGGCTTTGGTGGGGCCCAGCCCCAGCCCTGACAGCCATCTGGGGAGCGAACCAGAGGATGGAAGACCTCTCTGTCTCCTCCCCCTACCCGATCTGTGTCAGTATGCCTTTCCAATAAATAAGTCAATGTCTAAACAGAAAAGGAAAAGTCCTCTGCCACTGGGCACAGAAGGGATTTGGGGGTCGGGGATGGGGGTGCACCGGGCATGGCGGGGCCGGGCAGGAATGGGGGCCCCCGGAGGGACACAGGGGCGCCTCAGCTCAAGGGCAGTGGGGCCCAGGGGCGCTCTGTGATTCTGTTGGGGGAGGAAGGGCGAACACAACGGATCCGAGGGCGGGCCCCTGGCTGCCGAGAACACTCTCCGGGCAGCAAGCCGAGCAGGAGAGTGCGTCGGGAGGAAGTGGTGTTCAGGCTGAGCATGCTGGGAGACAGCCGAGGGGCCTGCAGTCAGGAGAGGAATCCAGGCGGAGGGAGGCGCTGCAGATTCCTCCCTGCTCCGGGGAGGCGAGCGCCCCTCACTGCAGGATTGGGAAGGGACCAGGGGACACCTGCCATCCCACAAGTTCCCTCATCACCACCCCACACCTGCACACAGGCACGCCCCGCCTCTGCGACCTTGAACCTGCTCTTGCCTCTTCCGAAGCCCCCAGGCCCCCTTCCTGCCTCTCTCCTGACCCATCTTCCAGTCTCAGCTCAGGTACCACCTCCTCCAGGGAGCCTTCCAGGAGCTCCCTACGTTCCATGCCTCCTGTAGGCTCCAAGTTCACCTCTGACCTCTCCTCGCCAGCTGGGGGGAGCTCCCAACAGCTCAGTCCCCTACCGGGGCCCCCAGGCTCTTTCTGGGCAGACCTCCTGTCCTCACTGCAGACTCCCCGGCCCCGGGTTCCGCTGCGGGATGCTCGGCTTGTTCCGTGGCTCGGGGACCTCAGAGAACACAGTAGCTGCTGCCAGGTTCTGTTAGCACCCGGACGACCGGCACTCGGGGGACCCAAGCCGGAGAAAGCCAGATGCAGGCGGGTTCCAGTACTCACCGCTCTGCATCCCTCGTCCAAGCCGCCTCTGGATCGGGCTTGGCTGCAACCCCCGGCAGCCCTGGGGGGAGAGGTGTGAAGCCACAGGTGTGCACACTCAACCAGGGCAACCCAGGCCCCTCGAGAGAGAAAGCAGAGTCCTGCCCCTGGAGGGGGGGGGGCAGCGGAGGGAGGCAGGGGGAGACCCCAAAGCGGAGCTGAGGAAATTACTTCCAGAGCCCGTTTGGAGGTGGGCCCCCAGACCCCCAGACCCCACAGCCCTGTCACTTAGCGGGTCTAGAGGTCCCTGTGCAGCTGCCAGGGTGTGGGGCAGACGGGCCGGCTGGAGAAACTCTCACCAAACCAGCCTTGGCATCCCTGCGCTGGGGGAGGGGCGCCGAGGACCGGGGCCCACGTGGTAGGTGCGCACGCGCACTCCACACGCCCTCTGCTCCCCAGCAGCGGGTCGTGTGGGCACCCAGGGAGGCAGAGCTCCAAAAGAGGGGTGACCCCGAAAACTGGGAGCTCTGAGCTCCACACAGGAGCCCGGCTGCCAGCTCCCAGGTTGGCAAAGCTAAGGAAAACTGACTGGCTACTCCAAAAGAAATGCATGTAATTCTCTCTCTCTCTCTCTCTCTCTTTCTCTCTCTCTCTCTCTCTCCCTTCTTCCTCCCCCTCCTCCCGTCCCCCTCTCCCCGCCCCCCTTCTTCTCCTTTTTCTTCTTTAATCCCTCCATTACAGAAAGAACAGGTAATGTGAGGTCTCGCCTGTAACACTGAAGTGCCGGGCACAGTACCGTTAACGCAGGCCGGGGCGTGCGGGTCTCTAACTCCCTTGCCGTGCAGAGCCGGCTGCACCTGCTGGCAGCTACGCTCGCTTTTCCTCCCTCCACCCCTGGTGGCGGCCCGCACTCTGGCTACTCTGATGCCCCCTCAGGGTCACCGTGGCCCCCCTGAGCCTGGCTTGTTGCTTTGATAGAAAAATGTTCTCCAGCTTCACCCATGTCGGCCCACACTTTGGGTTTCCTCCTTTTTCAAAGCTGAATAATACTCCGCTGTATATACGCAACAAAAGGGCAGCCTACAGAACGGGAGAAAGGATTCCCAAGCCTCAGGTCTGCTAAAGAGTTCACAGCAAAAGGATTAAGGGGCTCCAGCACCCCAATAGCAAGAAAAACCAGCAAAACATGAGTGAGACGCGGGCAAGGTCTTAAACAGATGTTTCCCCGAAAGACACACACACGGCTGACAGGTGCGTGGGAGGGTGCTCCTCCTCACTAACCATGGGGGAAATTCAACCAAAACCACAGCACGCGCTCCCGCCTGTCAGGACGGCCGTGGGCAACCCAGGACCCCGTGCGCTGCTGGTGGGGCGTGAGATGGCGCAGCCGCGATGAAGAGGGGTCTGGCAGTGAAAACAGGGGCAGGTGCAGTTAAGACACCCACACCGCGTATCCCAGTGCTTGGGTTCAAGTGCGGCTGCGCTCCAATCCCACCTTCCTGCTGACGCACACCTGGAGAGACAGCAGGGGTGGCTTGAGGACTTGGGTCCCTGTCACCCATGTGGGAGCCCTGGATTGGGCTCCCAGCTCCCGGCTTTGGCCTGGCCCAGCCCTGGCTGTGCAGGCGTTTGAAGAGTGAGCCTGTAGGTGGGCGATCTCTCAGTCTTTCTCTCTCTGCCTGTTGCATAAATAAATAAGGCAAAATATATAAAAAGAAAATGTCCTTTTTAGAAAGGTAAAAACAGAACTCCCAGAGGCTCCAGTGTCTGTGCGGGAGGGCTCACAGCAGGCTCTCACAGGGATCCCAAGGGGTCTCAGAACAGCATTCCCCCAGGAACCAGGACGGGGCAGCGACCTGAGCGTCCACCCACGGGCCAGGGCGCAAGGAGCTCCTCTCTCTGTCTGCATCTCCCGCAATTAGAGAAGGAACAGATCCCAGGAGCGGGCGCCCCGTGCCTCCCCAGCGGTGCCTCCCTGAGTGCAGACCTCGGGGGACCGCCAGACAGAGGGCACCTGAGCAAGGTGCAGTGCGAAAAACAGTTAAACGTTAACAGTTCCTGGCCGCCCTTGCTGTCCCCTGTGCCTGCCATGGGAGGAGAAAGGGGCCACAGAGGCTCCAAGGCCTCAGGGCACAGCGGGTGAGAGCCCAGCCGGGCCGCAGGGACCCCTGCGCCCGGAGTCTGAGCTCTGGCCCGAGTGCCGCCCCTTTAGGGCTGCGTGAGCTGGGGTGAGTGACAGACTAGCTTTGCAGCCCTCCCTTGTGGAGCAGGAAACTGTCGCCTCCCACGTGGGGTTGGTGACTGGGGAAGCTGGGACCTCGCCCGGCCTGGGCTGCCCCCCGGTGGGGCATCAGCTGCTGTTCCCTGGGCTGGGGACCCCGGAGCCCTGTGCTCGGTCACAGCCTGGCCGCGGGCACCTCGCTTCGCCACCGTCTCCCCTGCTCAGCAAGAGCATTGCTCTCCAGGGTGGTTCCTGACCGTGGCTGCACAGTGCAATCATCTGGGTGGGGGGGGGTGGTTCTTAAAAGACCCTAGACCCAGGCCTGACCCCCACAGGAGCTGATGTTGTTGGCTGGAGTGGGCTGGGGACCCGGGTTTTCAAAAGTCCCTTGGTGATTTGACCGCAGGGTTGAGAGCCGCGGCTCCGGCTGATTGTAAGCCCTCCTCCATCTCCAAGTCGTCGTGCTGGACTCAGACTAAGCCGCAGGATCTCTGATAAAGCTTCCCCTCTCTTTGGAGCATGGGGTGAGGTCCTTGGCCCAAGGGGTGCTTTTGTCCCTTCGCTGCCCGGGAAACACCTGCTACGGCCCAAGCGGAACGTTTTCAAAGAAGACGCTCTCCTTCCTCGATCCAACACTGCCTCCATCCTGCCGGCTTCCCCAGCAAACTGACCGTGAAACAATAACCCCAGCACTCAAGGCCACTGCCCCACGGCCTCTCAGATAGCAGTCGAATGTGGGAAAGAAAGCGTCGGTGGACAAATCTCACCCTTTAGTTAACCTTTGCTCACGGCTGCTCCACTCTGTCTCTGCCTACAGAGTCACCAATTTAAAAAAGAGGAGAGAAATTAAGAACTTTCAGATATACACAAAAAAGAAGTGGGAGGAAGAAGGAGGAGGAAGAGGTGGGGCGGGGGGAGAAGAGAGGAAAGGAAACGCTGCCGTGGGTGCACTGGCGCTCATGGTGGCCGATAAAACACTCAGGAGCAAGCCTGAGAAACGCGCAGGCGGCAGGTGGAGGAATCCCTAATGCCACTGAGCCTAAATTCCAGCTTCCTGTTCATGTGCGTCCTGGGAGGACGCAGGTGACAGCCCCGTGCCCCATGGAGACCCAGATGGAGTTTGTGGCTCCTGGATTCGGCCTGACCCAGACTCAAATGTTGTGAGCATTTGGGGAATAAACCAGAAGATAGAAGAGTTCTCTCTCTCTCTCTCTCTCTCTCTCTCTTCCAAATAAATAAAAATTTAAAAAGACGGCACGTGGTGGCCTTGGTTGGGCAAGCTAAGCGTCATGGAGATGTCCATTCTTCGTATGTTAATATATATATTTAGGAGCCGGTGTTGTGGTGCAGTGGGTTAAGCCCGCCCGCTGTGATACCGGCATCCCATATGGGTGCCAGTTCATGTCCCAGCTGCTCTACTTCTGATCCAGCCGCGTGCTAACATGCGGGGAAAGCAGCGGAAGATGGTGCAAGTGGTTGGGCCCCTGTCACCCGCATAGGGATGAGGCTCCTCACTCCTGGCTTCAGCCAGGCCCAGCCCTGGCTGTTGTAACCATGTGAGGGCGTGAACCAGTCGGTGAAAGATTTCTTTCTCGCTGGCGCCGCGGCTCAGTAGGCTAATCCTCCGCCTTGCGGTGCTGGCACACCGGGTTCTAGTCCCGGTCAGGGCGCCGGATTCTGTCCCGGTTGTCCCTCTTCCAGGCCAGCTCTCTGCTGTGGCCCGGGAGTGCAGTGGAGGATGGCCCAGGTGCTTGGGCCCTGCACCCCATGGGAGACCAGGAGAAGCACCTGGCTCCTGCCATCGGATCAGCGCGGTGCGCCGGCCGCAGCGGCCATTGGAGGGTGAACCAACAGCAAAGGAAGACCTTTCTCTCTGTCTCTCTCTCTCACTGTCCACTCTGCCTATCCAAAAAAAA